TCTTATAAGTTATATGTCAAGTTACGTAGAGGTCTGAGTTGGACATCAGGTCTGAGCATTGTTAAAATTTTCATGTTCAGTATATATTTATTTTATGTGTATTGACGACATTGTTTTTTCATTGTTTCATCGTATTAAACTTGTTCATTCTCATATCAATCCTGGCATATAGCCAGATCTTTGAATACTCTATGGACAAGGTTGGCAGCACTGATATGCCCATTGCAAAATGTTTTTATGACACTGTGTTTCATCATTCAAATAGGTTCTGGGGCATTTACATAGACCACTGTCTTTATACGATCTATTTTCGCATTGGATAGGTGGGTATTACCTTGGTAATTTTAGTCGGGGCAATATGGCAGTGATGGTAAGGTAACATAACATATAATTCGTAACCAACAAACATAGTTAAATAACACCAGTCAGTTGTGGTGTGCCGGAACCAACAATGCAGTAGGCCTGTAATAAAGAAGGCCCACCTTAGAGGATGATGTAAATAAAGAGAGTGGTGGGAAGGGTGACTCGCCAGACCAACAACGCAAAAGTGGGAGACGATTGGCAACCCTTTTAAAGGGGATTCAAGCCCCTCCCACAACTACATGTCCAGCCTTAAATTTGTAATCGGGGCAATACTGCCGTGATGGTAAGGTAACATAACATATAATTCGGAACCAACAAACATAGTTAAATAACACCAGTCGGTTGTGGTGTGCTGGAACCGACAGTGCAGTAGGCCTGTAATTGTCAGGATTACAGAATGATCCAGCACGTAGAATTATGTAACACAGAGGACTGATAGGTAACGTATACCGGACCTTAGAATGGCCGGACTAACTTATCAAAGAATAGTCAGGAATAGTCAGGTCAAGGGAAACAGAAAGAGACACAATGATAAGGAAAATCCAGGAATCAGGAATGCCAGAAAACAGGGAAGTCAAAAACAATGCCAAAGTCAAATAATCAGAATTATCAGAATCAATAATGCGTTCTCGGACAACCACAAGAGAAACCACGACAGGGCACTGAGCAGGATGAGAACTGGGCCTAAATACCCCTCCTCTAGATCTGATAGGTTGTAACCGGCCTTTGACCCCAAAGGCAGTTACCAGGTTCCCATTTGCATAATTGCTGCTCAGCATTAACCCTTCTGTGACTGATATTGATTAAAATTGTCTAATTTCATGTAAGAGAGGAAATTAGTAACACCTGTCAATCTCTGCCTTCCCCTAGTGGTTCGCATGTTTCAAATATACAAATTACGAGAAGGTTCGTATGAATCAAGGTGAAAGATTTAAGCATGCAAACGTAGTGAAAGGAGCCGAACGCTGATTGTGTTTGTGTGGTTGAATGAACCTAAAGCCTGAACTCGTGGGAACAAACTAATTTGTACATTCGGTAATACGAACAGTGATGAAATGCCTATGAACTATACGAATGAATAAGAAATATGAATAGACCCAAACCGGGATGATGCTGAAAAGTGCGTCTGCGGCCTGACGGTAAGGGTCTGACTTATGGTTGACAATGAGCCCCACAGAGACCAGTCTCCGTACAAGCCAGGGAGAAGCGGGCTTGTTGCATTTGATGAGCGGTCAGGTAAGTAGAATAAAAACATGGGCCAGGAACCAGGACCACGAGGGAAAACAGGTAAGAGACAGCAAGATGGCGACTTCACCTTCAACTCGCCAGACCAACAACGGTAAAGTGGGAGAGGATTGGCAGCCTTTTAAAAGGGGATTCAAGCCCCTCCCACAACTACAGGCCCAGCCTTAAATATATATATATATATATATATATATATATATATATATCTATATATATATATATATATATAACTGAAGAATAATCCAAGATGCACTCTCAGGACTTGTGCAAAAAATCCGTTTTTATTTTAAATCATGTGCAAAAGAAAAAATCGAAAACCAACGTTTCGACCTCTACAGGTCTTTTTCAAGGTTAGTGAAACTAGCAAAATAGTGAATTTATATAGAATAAAGTGTAAGTGCACTTACCAAGACTTAGCGTTGTGTGTTCCCCTCTCCGAACCCGGAAGTGAATTAGGACCGCCCCCCGACGTCACTACGTCAGGCCGTCCGGCGGAATGTTGATAGGTTGTCATAACAACGTGTGTTAGTTACCAGAGTGTAACGAATACTGTGATAGAAAAGTGAGCAATACTGGTGAGGGAGAACTGACAAGATGGAAGAATAGATCCATGTTATAATAACTAACCCCATGAGGCAATTAATGGTATCCATCAATCTTAAGAGTGTCATATTAAGTGACTAGGTGCAGCAAAATGTGAATGTAGTGCAACTATAAAAAGACATAAAGATGATGGATCCAAGATTCACCCAATTGAGGTGATGCTAAATGTAATACACTTGTGGTATAGGTAAAAATATAAACCTTAAATAAAGGTTACTTACAAAATTATTACTACAAATGAATTAGGCACTATTTAAATACATATTACATGCTAGTATTGTAAAAGAATCTTAGACCGAAAGTACAGATCTGGAGAAAAAATCTAAAGCTGAACCAATGATTGTATCTGTATATAAAATTATATACAGTCATATACTATATTATAATATAATGTTCGTGAGGAATAGACTTAATAAAGCGACCTCCTATTGGTCTATAATCAACTAATGCGGTGGGAAAAGACAAATATCTGAAAAAAGTCAATGCTGTATAATACTGCCAATACATATAACTGTAAAGAATATTAGATATAACAGGCAAACCTGCATAAAAAAGGGATAAATCCAAAAATAAATAAAAATAAAAATAAAAAAGTGAAGAAAAAATACTAAAATAAAAAATAAAAAATAAAAAATGTTGCATCTGCAAATGTTGGTTAAAGAAACAGAGTATGTAACGTGTTCATTAAGTCCTTTTGGAGCTGCTGTCTTAAGAGAATAAATCCAATATGCTTCCCGTTGTAGAAGAATCTTAGACCTATCGCCTCCTCGACGTAAAGGTGGAACATGATCAATAGCAATAAATCTCAGAGTGGGAAGACGATGGTTTAAGGCCAGGAAGTGTTTAGCCACTGGTTTCTCAGTATGTTGGTCACGAAAGGCTGTGGTAATTGCTGAACGATGCCCTCTTATGCGATCTCTAACAGTAAGATCCGTTTTGCCCACATATGCTAACCCACAAGGGCACGTAATCAGATAAACCACATGGTCAGTAGTGCAGGTGATGTAGTGTTGAATGGCAATCCGTTTGCCTGTATGCGGATGTGCAAAAGAGATACCAGGAGCCATATGACTGCATGTTACGCAGCCTGTACATTTGTAACATCCCTTCTTCTTATTACTGCCTTCATGTTGATAACAGTGTACCGGATCGTTACGGACTAATATGTCCTTCAAATTTCTGTTACGTTTGTAACTGATAATCGGTGGATTTTGAAAGATTGGTGACAAGCTTTTATCTGCTTGTAATATGTCCCAATGTTTATGTATTGTGTTTTTGATAAGCGTAGTATTAGTATGAAAGGTGAGAGGAAGAAAAAGACGATCTACCTGAATGTCTTTGGTCACAGGATTTTGAATACATTGTTTTGCCTTCATTTCGGCAATTGTAAGGATATGTTGCGAATAGCCTCTCGCTGCAAATCTCTGCTTCATCTGATGTACTTGTATATCCCTTTTCTGAGGATCGCTATTATAGCGTAGTACACGGACAAACTGAGAAATAGGTAAGGATTCAATCATATGTTTGGGATGAAAACTTGCAGCTGACAGAAGTGTATTTCTGTCTGTGTCTTTTCGATATAAGGTATATCCAATGCCTTTCTCAGTTTTAAATAAAGACACGTCTAGAAATTGGATCGTATTCTTATCAGTGGTCAAAGTTAATTTAATGGGTGTCTGTAGATTATTAATGGTGGTAACCATAGTGTTCAATTGTTCTTCTGTACCTTTCCATAATACCAGAATATCGTCCACAAACCTGAAGTATTTCAATATGTGGGTGTGGTATTTGGATAAAATGTGTTCTCGTTCAAACCACGCCATAAATATGTTGGCATAAGATGGTGCCATAGCAGCTCCCATAGCAGTCCCAAATGTTTGGACGTAGAAGGTATTTTCAAATCTAAAATAATTGCACGTCAAAGCTATCGTCAGCCATTCCAATAGATATTCTATGGGTGGTCCTTCATAAGAAGTAGTGTTTAGAAGAGTTTCACGTACAGCTTGTATTCCTTCCGTGATAGGTATAACCGTGTATAAATTTTGTACGTCCAAAGTGGCGAAAATAAATTCCGCATCTGTTTCCATGTTGAAATCTTTTAATTGGTGTAATAGATCTGGAGTGTCTCTGAGGCATGAAGGTATTGCTTTAACACATCCTTGTATGTAAAAGTCCACGGATTTAGCTATAGGTTTTTTTACGAATTAATTCTTGTTAAAAAAACTATCCAAGAATTTGAAGTTAGTAACGTTACTTTGTTACAAGCACCCTCCACGCAAGATACTTTGATTAAATTGCAGGATGATATTCAAAAATATCAAAATGACCTTATAAGGTTTAAAAAGCAGAAACTTAACAAAGTCAACCATGATTACACTCACCACCAAGTGTATAGATGGTTGAGTGGAAGTGATACTAATAGTAGAAACCCACCTTCAAGATATCAACAACGGATTATCAAACCAAAGTTTCAAACGATTGATGTTAGTTCTGGAGAGTCTGCCTCTGAAACTGAAATGATTGATCCAACTTCTAAGCCATATACCACCCCTTTTTTAGAGAAAGGAGCAACTTTCAAAGAACCTCCAGATATGCCAAAAGAACGGAGGGATACAAGAAAAAAAGACCTATCAGGCGAGGAAAGAAGGGTCACTCGTTACACCAACACCTGTTCAGAGAACTCATCCGTAGTATTTAATTTATCCGACAAAGTCCTTACACAGGATCATTTAGCGGTTTTGAACAAAGGACTCACTTTTATTCCCAGTAGGAAACCGGACCCTTTTTCGATGGAAATAGAATTGTACAAACTTAATCGAATTCTTAATTGCAATGAATTCAGAAAAATTGGAACCACAACTCGCTCTCATTTGTTTTCTTCAAGAGTGAAAAAGGATATTAAAACTAGCAACATTGCTATTAAGACTTTTATACAAACCATTCATAACGATGTACAAAGGATCATTAAAATTCCTCCTCATTCTAGACATAATCTTACGTTTAAAGAAAAAGAAGCTCTTAAAGATCTCCGGCAAGATTCAACTATTGTCATTCGCCCCGCAGATAAGGGGGGCGCTATTGTTATTCAAGCATATCAGCAATACAAAAAAGAAATTATGAGACAATTACAAGATGTTAAGACATACAAGAAACTAACATTTGACCCGGTTAAAAAATTTCAACAAAGGATTAATCATCTGATTGAAATAGGTCTCCAGGGGAATTACATTGATTCTAATACGGCAAAATACTTACAAGTGGAATTTCCTATCCACCCGGTATTATACACAATACCTAAAATTCATAAATCCGCGCAGGATCCTCCAGGATGTCCTATAGTATCGGCCCGAGGGGGACTCCTTGAGCCTATAGCTAAATCCGTGGACTTTTACATACAAGGGTGTGTTAAAGCAATACCTTCATGCCTCAGAGACACTCCAGATCTATTACACCAATTAAAAGATTTCAACATGGAAACAGATGCGGAATTTATTTTCGCCACTTTGGACGTACAAAATGTATACACGGTTATACCTATCACGGAAGGAATACAAGCTGTACGTGAAACTCTTCTAAACACTACTTCTTATGAAGGACCACCTATAGAATATCTATTGGAATGGCTGACGATAGCTTTGACGTGCAATTATTTTAGATTTGAAAATACCTTCTACGTCCAAACGTTTGGGACTGCTATGGGAGCTGCTATGGCACCATCTTATACCAACATATTTATGGCGTGGTTTGAACGAGAACACATTTTATCCAAATACCACACCCACATATTGAAATACTTCATGTTTGTGGACGATATTCTGGTATTATGGAAAGGTACAGAAGAACAATTGAACACTATGGTTACCACCATTAATAATCTACAGACACCCATTAAATTAACTTTGACCACTGATAAGAATACGATCCAATTTCTAGACGTGTCTTTATTTAAAACTGAGAAAGGCATTGGATATACCTTATATCGAAAAGACACAGACAGAAATACACTTCTGTCAGCTGCAAGTTTTCATCCCAAACATATGATTGAATCCTTACCTATTTCTCAGTTTGTCCGTGTACTACGCTATAATAGCGATCCTCAGAAAAGGGATATACAAGTACATCAGATGAAGCAGAGATTTGCAGCGAGAGGCTATTCGCAACATATCCTTACAATTGCCGAAATGAAGGCAAAACAATGTATTCAAAATCCTGTGACCAAAGACATTCAGGTAGATCGTCTTTTTCTTCCTCTCACCTTTCATACTAATACTACGCTTATCAAAAACACAATACATAAACATTGGGACATATTACAAGCAGATAAAAGCTTGTCACCAATCTTTCAAAATCCACCGATTATCAGTTACAAACGTAACAGAAATTTGAAGGACATATTAGTCCGTAACGATCCGGTACACTGTTATCAACATGAAGGCAGTAATAAGAAGAAGGGATGTTACAAATGTACAGGCTGCGTAACATGCAGTCATATGGCTCCTGGTATCTCTTTTGCACATCCGCATACAGGCAAACGGATTGCCATTCAACACTACATCACCTGCACTACTGACCATGTGGTTTATCTGATTACGTGCCCTTGTGGGTTAGCATATGTGGGCAAAACGGATCTTACTGTTAGAGATCACATAAGAGGGCATCGTTCAGCAATTACCACAGCCTTTCGTGACCAACATACTGAGAAACCAGTGGCTAAACACTTCCTGGCCTTAAACCATCGTCTTCCCACTCTGAGATTTATTGCTATTGATCATGTTCCACCTTTACGTCGAGGAGGCGATAGGTCTAAGATTCTTCTACAACGGGAAGCATATTGGATTTATTCTCTTAAGACAGCAGCTCCAAAAGGACTTAATGAACACGTTACATACTCTATGTTTCTTTAACCAATATTTGCAGATGCGACATTTTTTATTTTTTATTTTAGTATTTTTTCTTCACTTTTCTATTTTTATTTTTATTTATTTTTGGATTTATCCCTTTTTTATGCAGGTTTGCCTGTTATATCTAATATTCTTTACAGTTATATGTATTGGCAGTATTATACAGCATTGACTTTTTTCAGATATTTGTCTTTTCCCACCGCATTAGTTGATTATAGACCAATAGGAGGTCGCTTTATTAAGTCTATTCCTCACGAACATTATATTATAATATAGTATATGACTGTATATAATTTTATATACAGATACAATCATTGGTTCAGCTTTAGATTTTTTCTCCAGATCTGTACTTTCGGTCTAAGATTCTTTTACAATACTAGCATGTAATATGTATTTAAATAGTGCCTAATTCATTTGTAGTAATAATTTTGTAAGTAACCTTTATTTAAGGTTTATATTTTTACCTATACCACAAGTGTATTACATTTAGCATCACCTCAATTGGGTGAATCTTGGATCCATCATCTTTATGTCTTTTTATAGTTGCACTACATTCACATTTTGCTGCACCTAGTCACTTAATATGACACTCTTAAGATTGATGGATACCATTAATTGCCTCATGGGGTTAGTTATTATAACATGGATCTATTCTTCCATCTTGTCAGTTCTCCCTCACCAGTATTGCTCACTTTTCTATCACAGTATTCGTTACACTCTGGTAACTAACACACGTTGTTATGACAACCTATCAACATTCCGCCGGACGGCCTGACGTAGTGACGTCGGGGGGCGGTCCTAATTCACTTCCGGGTTCGGAGAGGGGAACACACAACGCTAAGGCTTGGTAAGTGCACTTACACTTTATTCTATATAAATTCACTATTTTGCTAGTTTCACTAACCTTGAAAAAGACCTGTAGAGGTCGAAACGTTGGTTTTCGATTTTTTCTTTTGCACATGATTTAAAATAAAAACGGATTTTTTGCACAAGTCCTGAGAGTGCATCTTGGATTATTCTTCAGTTATATATGGAACGCATACCATTTGCACCCAGGCGGATACAAGGGATTTCATTAAGGAGAGTGCCAAGCTACTTATTCATTATATATATATATATATATATACACGTAAAAACTTGTTACTGCATAGCTTGACCTCCAACCTGCTTAGATTATCAAACTTATACAGCATATCATCACTTGTCAGAACACAAGTTCACATACCATTTTTGATGGCACCATGTCTCATTATGTTATTCAGGTTCTAGAGTGGTGTCATACTGACGTTGTCCTTTTCTCTTCTATTTCGCTTGGATAAGTAGGTAGTTATAGTTCATTATATCTGTTGTAACTTGATTGAGCATAGCCATTACCATTTTCACGTTCATACGTTGAACGACAAGTCTGTAGTTTAAGTATTGGTATCTGTCACTAAAAGGTGATGATATTTAGTTTTCCCTCTGTCCCGCGAGGCCAACACCCATCCTCATACTCGGAGGTAATCGCCCGTCACACCAACACATGGGTAGCTGCCTCACAAGTTACATAGAGAAGGCCTCACCTGTCACTCCCATTCTATTTTTTTTGTAATCATCACCGAGATCCCAACATCCCGCCACCAACCGGCCATCATTCCAATGCATAGATAGAGCCTCTCAAGGTGCTTGGCATTAGTAAGCCCCCACCTGTCGCCACGTAGTGAATATTTTTGCCACTTGGCACTAATTATCAAAAGTGACAATATTCTAATATTTAATTTTCATTTTTAGAAGTTCCGGAAGGGGGAGATGAACTTTCACTCCCTAGCACTCCAGCTAGGTCTGGGTCACCATCTAGAAGATGAAATTCGGCGAGTCCATCATCAAAAAGATCATGGACAGTTCCACATATTCAAGCTGAATTTAAGAAAAGGAGTACTGCTTTTCCTGCAACAGCCAGGAAAGCTGAGTTGTTCAGATTAATGCAAACAAACACGGACAACTCAGGCGCAGGGGAAGGGGAAGGATCTAGCAGGATGTGATGGCTGATTTACAAGCCATGATGACTTCACTCCTGTCATCCATGGGTCGAATTAGTGATAGACTCAAGAGGTTAGAGTCTGGCAATTTGACAGTGACCCTGACTTTGTCAGCCTTTTCGAGTCTAATGTTGCAGTTCCTATAACCTCTGCTGATACTCTTATGATCACACCAGCCCATATGGTACCACCGTATATCCGTAAAGATATCCTGGAAGGCAAGGACGTGAATTTGGTTTCCCTTCATATTGCTTCCCAAGTTATTGTGGATAATATAACTTATTCTTATGGTGACTTGTCTGTGGTCCTGAAAGCCAGAGATCCCAGACTTACTATTCTTGAATTTGTACTGGCGTTTGGGATTTATACGGATGTAGTGTGTGCTAACTTTCCTCACAGGAGGGAGGAATTTGACACTTACTTGCACAAGCTGGTGGACATGGGGCACAAATAGGGCAGCTATGCTTTTTACAATTATCACAAGGCAATTTTACAATTTCCAAAGCAGCAGCAACTCTGTCCTAGTTTAATGCGGTCACAAACTGGAGTAAATTGGATACAGAGTTTTTCTGTAAACACTTTGATGGCCTCAGGACACAAGCCTGTGCAATGTGCTCTTCCACCTCTCACGTGACAAACCTTTGCCCTAATGACACCTCTGCTTTGGGTCAGCAGCCCCCTGGTTTACCAGCCAAAACAGAGAAAGTTGTGAAGGATAAACTGGGCAGACCTATTGTGTTTCTTGGAAAATCGCAAGTATGCAACAATTTTAATGCGAATACTTGTGGCTTCAGTGCCTGTAGACTATTGCATATTTGTACACAATGTTTTTGTGCACATTCAATGTCAATGTGCCCTTATAAAATGCATACAAAACCATGCTTTACATTTGTCAATGTTATTAGGTTATCTCAACGTTTTTCTTTAAACCTGTCTCCATAATTGGTGGAATTCTTGATTTCAGGATTTTCTGACGGTTTCCACACAGGCATTCTAGCTTTACCTACAGGTATTATGGAATGCAAGAACTTACAATCGGCTATTAATGACCCTTATTCAGTCGATACACTTTTACTACATGAATTGGATCAAGGGTTTATTTTAGGTCCATTTTTCTCACCCCCATTTTCCACATGGCAGACAAATCCGATAGGGCAGTCATGGGTAATAACTCACTTAAAAAAAATTCACCATCCCGAGTTTGAATTCTTTAATCCCTTCAAAAGAATTCTCACTCCAGTATGCCACGAAAGACAATGCCATTCAGGTTATCATATCAGCTGGTGTTGGGGCCTGGTTGAGCAAGACTGACATTGTTAATGCTTTGAAATAACTCCCAATACACCCTTCTCTTTGGCA